TCCGTATGCCATCCGCTTGTTGCGTACAATTGAGTTGACGCCCCCTCTGTGAGTGCATTGCACAGAGTGCACAAATGCGTACACATCTGGGAAATCGCACCTTCTGACTTCGACGTGCTATTCTCTCGTTCGTTATGTCTCTAGGCTCCACTCGCTTGTAATTTTAGATTGAAAATTCATTCTCGCAAAAGAATAAATGCGCGATATCGAAACAGAAAGTCTGTAAAGTCGTGGTAGAGTATGATGTGAACTATAGGTTGGTGCAAAATTGATGCGATATTAATTATGTGAAAGAAAGTGACTACATTACGCGCACTACATCATGGATCACACATCATGGTTGCGCTCATTCTATCTTATATCTGAAACTGAATGTCTGTTTCTTTGTATGTATGTCTGTCTGTACGTATGTTCTAAATAGAAAATTCCATTTTTTAAGCGATCCGGCCCAAGCCTTGCACACATACATTTCGGGGCGGGGCGGGTGTCATAGGCTACTTTTTGTTATCGATCGATAGCCATTTTATCGATTTTTGTCGATTTTAAAGCTTGAAATGCGGCGGTGGGAGCTGGCACAAGGGGTAAATGAGCATGCCGATTACGAATACAATATTACTTTTCGGAATTATCCCTTGCGTTTATCGATTTTATCGGTTTTCTTGCAAAATTTGAGCTACAGGGCTGAGAGTTAGTACAGGGGGCGGAGTAAGTGAGCATGCTGATAACGAATACCATCTTAGTTTTTGGATTTAGTTCCAGGGTCGAGCAAGAGGTGTGCCACGCAATTACAGGATAAGACCCCCTCCTCTTTGGGTTCTGTTCGTGATACCTCCCTTCCCGCATTATCGTTCGCCTCTCGTAAGCATGTTAACGCTCTACCGGGCATAATTAGTAACATATTCGATTATCATATCAAGTAAACCTTCCAGGTCATGCTTTAGCGCATTTTGAGGGTTATTAGTAATGGGCCACCCAAGAAGCGGTCATTTTTAAATAGTATATACATTTCTCAAATGAACTGGTGACCCTTTTTGCACTCTATATAGAGCACTACTCCCTTCTGCCCCTATTATGAATTCTGCTTCAGATGCTCATCAAACTATGAAAATAGGAGCCATTCAGAATCTCATTTGTTTCATCTTTCGCTTACAGTGGTTGTCCTTCCAACAACATTGCTCAAACAAAAGAGACGAAATCAGCCCCAGTCACCTATACAAAAACTAGGAGGCTATCGAACCATATATGTTTTGTTTGATAAAAGTTTCTTTGGAGGTAAGTTAATAAGTGTGGCACAACCCCAGAAAAACTGTGGCCACTTTTTTTAGGGGTTTTGCCACACCTCATTAATTTACCTTCAAGAAATGCAAATATCTATGTTATCTACAACGTTGCTACTGCTGAACCTTCTCCTCTATACAGCATAATTTTCATTCAAAATCATTGCCTCTAGGGACAGATACTCAGACAATCGCCGGGGCAGGCGGTCCGCAAACTCTTGCTTTCTTGCAGGCGGTAAGCGGAATTTTGGGGCATGGCCAAACCTTCAGCGAGCGATACTTCCTTCGCACGTTGCCAGCGGGCAGCAATACAGGGTTTCCTGCAAACGGTCGACGAATTTTCAGCGAGCGCTCTGACTCTTGTTACGTAGTTTTGAGCGTACGCCAAGCAGAGGTAACACTCTACATGGCAGAGGTGTCATCTAAGGTTAAGTAGTTCCGGGGCCTTCTCATGTCCTTTATTCCGAATATCAAGTCGAGAATCCTCGAAAATCTCGAGAACCCCGTTTCGGAGAACCCGCAGGGCGACTTTTGCGGAACGGTGATTGGTTAGGTGCGCTCAAATGGCCGGGTTGGACGTCACGCCTACTCAAAGGGGAGGAGTCAACGTAGTGAATCCGTCATCTAAAGCGATTTTCGAGGCAATTTTCTCAGTAGCAACTTCTGGCAGCGCGAGCTGGGCAAGTATGGGGGCCACACTACTGATAGGCATCAGAATCTCATCAGCCACATTTTGGGTGGATGGTGCTTTTAAGCGGAAGGTACCCACGACTGTGCAGCCCTTCAAAAACGACCGTACGTGCCTCCAATAATTCTGCACATTCTTGCAGAAAGTCCGCGAGAATGAGGCCATTGCGCCGCAATTAGTCCATGAAAAAGCTGCAATTGTTTCCGGAGTATTCGTCTAGAATTTGGCTAACATACAAAGGTTGCAAAGATCTGCAAACGAATCCACAAAACTAATGAACTATTTTTTTCAGTGCCCGCTTGCCCATAACTCAAAACCATAACCCATAACTCGCATAGCCGCCTGCTCCGGAAATTATCTGACCATGAGTATAGTCGTTTTTTTAATCTATCAAAATGGAACGTGAAAATATTGGATTACGGTGACATGTATGTTTTCCTTACTACGTGAGTCTTGACGGAAGGTAGCAAGAATAAATTTATTCGATAGCGCAAACCTCGGAAATTTCACAAAAGTGATTGAGCCTTCTTGGTTGGTTGGTCTTCCCTAATCTGAGATATTCAGAGCGACGAATGGGATGTTGAAGGTTATTTGGAATAGGATTCCCATTGCGTGTAAAGAATTAGTAGTGCTTTGTATTGAGTCCAAAAATAAGTAATTAACTCATCTTTGAAACAAAGTTAAGATGTTCGAAAATGGACATCTCACTTAGATAATCCAATATTTGGAAACCTCAGAATTCTCTGAAATTTGGACCACAGAAGTTATTGGTCTTGCTTATCACGAAAATGGTGCTCTTATGGTTTTAAATTCTTTTATCATGCTTACTGTGCGTATACGATGTTAGGCCAAAACATTAAAGTGCTAGATAATGAGTGCTGATGATTTTCGTATCATCAACCTAACCTCTTATTTTTTCACACCGCATATGGAATTCCCATAGGCAGTGCACGCCATTCATTCTCAAGTATGTAATCATTCAAGAATGAGTGGTACCTGTGCACCAGTAGTGTAGCCGAATGGCGGCAACTCCTTTTAAGCCATTACCTCGTCTACTTTGCACATTGTACCCCGGCAAGCTCCACCTTCTATCATGCATATAGAGTGTCTCCGAATATACAGTTCGCTCTCCCTGCTGGAATCCACGTCAACCGTGCGAATAAATCTATATCTCACTTCTTCTATCCCATTCACTTAGTACTTAGTTAGTAGTCACCAAAATGAGTCTATCTGAAGTTTCAACGAAAATCGTGTTATGGTTAACATCAGTATCACCTTGATAACAAGACGTCTCCCTTATTGACCCTCGCAAACCAATGCATGCCACATCCCACGCTTGGCTCTGATTGTCCCTTACGTCTAGCGATTTTGTCGATTTTTCTAACAAGTGAGGTACAAGTGAGCACGATCAGTCGAAGTGGCCTTTCCAAATGAGTCTTACACCACGAGGAGCACCAAACGCTGATTCTAAACCTGTCTCCGTTATCTGTCGTGCACCTCTGCACATATGAGCGTTTTCTAAGTTGAAAAACAGAATGCATAGTAAAGAATTGCTCAAATGACCCAATGTTGATTATCAGAGCATTCATTCGAACAAAAACTTCTGTCTAAAACAGTCATACTCAACATTGCTCTGTTTGAGCGCTGAAAAGACCGTATTTGATTTTAGTTAGATTATGCGTTCATTTTTCGCACCAAAGAATTATTTATAACTCGGCATGCAGAGGAGCTCGGCAGATCATAAAATCAGATTTGTAATCATCGTTTGGTGCTCTTCGAAACGGTATAGACTCGTCTGAAAACTCCATTTCGATTAATCGGACCTCCCTTGTAAGCCTGAGCTAAGGGCAGGGAATTGGTAAATCGGTGTAAGTGAGCATGCTGATTACGAATACAATAATACTCCCTTAATTTGCACATTGCCTTCATCAATTTTATCGTATTTTACAAAGTTTGGGGCCGGGGGTAGGAAGTGGTACAGGAGGGAGAGGGGGGGGATAAGTGAGCGTGCTAATTACGAAAACAAAAACGGGAACAAGGAGCTGGCACGTAGAAGCGGGGATGGGGGAAAGGTTTGTACAGGAATCGGCACGATGACCTTTGGTAGTGTTTGGACAGGGCCTGGCGGAGTTGGGTAAGCCAGCTAGTGGCTCATAAATTTTATTTAACGAAGACAATTGCCGAACTTCCATACATTTCTGTAATGCTAGGATAGAACACCTGTTGACTTTCTGCAAAAACATTTAGCTTTACGCAGAGACTCTTATCCATGATTTGTGATTTTGAGGCCTGCAAAAAATTACGGCAATCTTAGATTTTCATTTCTCGAATTTTACTTGTCCAAGTCCCTTCTTTATTTGCGGTAAGGACTTGCCGCTACAGGATAAGCTACTTATCACTTATTTTGACGTAGCTTGAAGGGAGTTATGATTTGCCAACCTGAAGCTTCATAAAAAAATTCGCGTTTTCAATTCATATTTTTGTGACAGTCAGTGATATGAAAATAGGTGAAGATGCGCTGCATTACGAAAGGTTTGCTGTTGGTGATTTTTATCGC